ATTTATTTTCTTGCTCTGCAAACCAAATGAGTAAAATGTGTAATGATCATGAGCACGAGTGAAATTCTTTTAAAATTCAGACATACTAATAATAATAATATAAAAGACAGATATCTCAGCAGTTTGGCTGTTATCATTAAACATGAGTTATAACTTTCAATGACTTCTTTCTCTGTTTCGCTTGTAGTCAGATGCATTAGTATGCAAGCCATTGAGTGCTAAATGGTTTTGTATTATGAATTTCCCCGGCGCTGGATATCTTTATCTGCTTGTGTGTAAGTGTTTATCCCTGCTGAGAACAGGATGCCAAATGAAAGCAATATGCTGGAGATCCTGCATGGTGTTATTATCTGTCAGGTATCATTGCTTTGACGCTGGCAACTTTTCGACCAAGAAAATCGATTGTTCAGCTGTCCTTGTGAACTTCACAAAGGACTGCAGCAAAAAAACTTTAAAAAAAATCACCTGTCGGATTAAATCATTCAATTTTAAATCTTGAAATTTCCGTGACGTGAATAGATTAGGTAAGGCAAGAAATCAGGTAGTCGACTGTTGCTGGTTGTCAATACTTCAGGAATACATGGGAAAGTAACCGTATCCTTCATGTTGAATTTTGAGGGAGCCAAATGCATAGTTTTGTATCTGCTGTAAACAGTGTGATTGACAACCTGACCGTGAAACAGAAGCTGTGACAGAGTGTGTCTTTCACATTTGGATTTAAATTCAGAACTGACAACAGTAGGTTATGGATTTGTTCGGCCCCTCTACCGTCAAATGTATTCTCGGCAGTGAGTAAGATCTAACATCTCACGACTCGGGGAGAAAAACCCTCCGACATCTTTGACATACTACTCAGTCCCCGCTGTGTTGGATTGACGATGCCACACTATGACATGGAGAGCAAACGTATTCTTGCCAGTCAGCTGGATAGCAACAGACAAGTGATTGCACTGTTGATGGGGGTAATTCTGCACAGATAGGGGGTGGATGGAGGAGGGGGGGCTACGATGAATAACAGAATACAAATGCTGTGTGATTGTTAAATACTATATGACAGCACTGTCTTCCCTATGAAACTCAGCAAAGAACGATGCCATTCTGACTGAAGCTGAAGGATTTATTAGTTGAAAGACAGCATCAGTTAAAGAGATGTACTTGAAAACGTGACCTTCAATCTCTTTTCTATTCGTGGCTTTTGTGTTCACTTCAATGTTTATTTAGTTTAATCAAATAATGTTTTGATTTATTTTCTCTTTTTTCGCTTCATTCAACAACTATTTTATTATTGCAAGTTTTAGTGTTATCTCATGTATTTACCAATGTTTAAATGTCCTCATGTATTGCAGCTCTAAAAGCATGTATCCAAAAATGTCAAACTATTTATTTAATAGGAGAATAATTCAATGGAGTTGTTTAGGAATCCTGTGGTTTTCTTTTCCTTTTCAGTACAAAGAAGAAGATTGAAAAGAAGAACAGTCCAAAAGTAAGAGTATTTCAATAAATACAATAAAAAAGGTTGTCTGTGAATTGGTGAGGGACAAAATGTTATTTGGCCGAGTGGATATCCATCTGTTTGGTAGACATTCAAGTTCTTGTGATGTAAACCCATTTTCAAATCTGATTTCTAAAGTAAATAAAGAAACCATAAAATACTTGTAACCCTTGTGTGGTGTTTTGTTACTCAGCCAGTGTGCGTGGGCCTGGTGTACCCGCTGCCTTTGATCAGTTGTGTTAAGGACCCAAACTGGCGAAGCTTTATTTATTGTGTCTTGTCCCAAATGTGCAGCTTGGATAGAGTGTGAAAAAAATAAAGATTGGTTCCCGCAAGACAAAATGCGGAAATCTTCCTAATCTCAGCTCAAGTCCTTTCATCACTTTTCTTTTCCCTGGTGTTGCCTTCCCTCTGACTGTTGGATATGAACTCTTACTGAGTGAATTTATGATGCCACAACAGTTATTTCCTCCACGACGCCCTCTTCATCTCAACTCTTCTCAAAGCATCAATCCAGTCTTCTGTCAACAGAGAGCAGCTCAGATTATCTAACTGCCATGTTACAAAGAGCCAGAGTTAAACTAGGTAAAAGAGGAGCAAACGATAGAAAACAGGAAAACAGCCATGACCGAATAAACAAACTAATTGAAAGAAGTAGAGAAAATAGCTGTCCTTGTAACGTTAGTAAATGACATCGATTCTGCAGGCCTCAGCAGCTGCCTCTGACGTCTTAGCTCTTATTTAAAACTAACACACTCTTTGAGGGATGGATTTAGGATACCTGAAACCAGGAGGTCACATAGAGAGGAAGTGGAAAGGGAGAGATACTGCACTAAAAACCTAGTTTCTCCCAGGGGAAAACACTGGCTCACAGGGAAGATAAAAGATAAAAAAAGAACAGGTACTGCAGCAGGAATAACAGTTACCATAGTAATCGTGTTGGACAGATGGCTGTGGTCTAACCATTATTATGAAAAGAGAGTCAGGATTTGTGACACAAGGAGGACCTCTGGTGGTAACCCAGTAACTAACAGGACAAGATGATCCCCTCGGACTAACGGAGACTGGGTTCAGTGTTTCAGTGGATTGGATTTAAGGATCTCCAAAGATCAACTGGACTCTCACCTTGCATTGCCCCTCTCATAGGTTAGGAATAAAGCTGCTGTTGCAAAGGTGCGTTGAAGAGGAAATGTATGGATGTCACCTGAATTCAATAATATTACTGTTTTGTAATGTTGTGACAATACTGAGCCAATTTCTATCAATTCCAAAATACCTAGTAATCTAACATTTATATTTCTGATTTCAGAAGCCTGCCTAGTTTCACTTTTATTCAATTATACTGTGTCTTAAAACAATATGCTAATCATAAATACAATTTGCTGAATTATGAATTATTCTATAACGCACACTGAACCAATTAGCGCTTTATAATTTAATAATAATAATCTGCTTAGGTTGCAAACCTCAGTGATGGAAAATTACTCATGAGCCAAAAAAAATTAAGTCTTAAATAAACTCCATGTGACAAATACATGACAAATTGATAGGACAAAAAAAAGAGGCTGACTTTGTGTTCTGTTCTGTTCCTTTGACCTTTATCAAAACTGCAGCTGAGTGGTAGTTTCCTGAGGGTTTGTCATATATTCAAAGGTTTAAATAAGCTCTTTCGATTCACACAACTGGTTAAATGAGGATTTAAAATATGGGATATCTACTGTACCACTTGCACTTAAAGTACCCAGCTTTTTGGCTCATTAAAAGTCTAAATACATTATTATCTTCTAGTTCTCGAAACATTAGTCCATGATTAGACCTGTAAACCTGTCTGCAGAGCTAATCCACTCAGCTGCCTTGGGCTTGCCCAGCAACAGGCAAAGCTCAAGAAGTTCCACCAACACTTATAAAAAGTTGATGGGCCTTGAAGGCAGCTTAAGCCCTGGCACGCACACAGAGGGAGAGGATAAACCATAGGGATAAACATATAAGCCGGGGGATCCATTCAGGGCTTTTGATCAAAGTGGGAAATACGAAAACAGAAACACATTTGAATTCAAGAATTGCAACATAAGGGAAAAAAATCAACTGTTAGTTGTTTAGTATATTTGGCAAGATACTCAACACACAGCAGCTACATTAGAGTTGACCAGTTTGAGTGTTTTAATTGGAAATGTGAATAACCTTCTCTTTCTCAACCACACTAAGCTAAGGAACAAAGATAACTGACTCTCAATATGACAGTTTTTACACATTTATTTTGACATCAATGTACACATCTGCAATGCCTTTAAGGCCTTAACTATAGGTATCCTGCATGTTATATTGTTTGTATGGTATGGCAAAACAATTACAGAGACTTTAACTATATACAAACTGTCCAACTATTACTTAACCTGTATACAATTAGTATGTACTGCTGGGCTAAAAGAGTTGCAGGGACGAAAAGCATGACTCAGTGGTGCATTCAGGGACCCTCCTTGAACGAGGTAGGAGGATGTTCTGTAACAAATATCTGAGGCCACACACTTCATTTCACTGAAGCTCAGGCTTAATAGGAGAATCAAACGTAAAAACTAAGACAACAAGGATACAAGCAAACTGTCCTTAGTTTCTATAACTTTGAACGCATTTTGTAAAAACACTCATTGATTTTGGAATACAGTTTTACGAAACAAAATATAGTGCTTAATACTTTTATAGACTCAAGATAAATCAATCCAGTTTTCTATGTCTTCTTTCTTTTCACAACAGCACAACCAAATGATCAGATTTGTGTGTTTTAAGCATTTTTAGACCACATACAGTTGAGGCCTAAATTATTAGCCCCCCAGGAGTTATGGAACATTTTCCTAAAATTCTTCCCAATGTTTTCAGCATTGATACAACTTGATATAATCAAACATTCACCAGTGCTATTTAGTAGCTTTTGGTATATTTTGGAACATAAAACAAGTTTTTAGGCTTGCTTTATATCAAATATAGCGAAAAATGGGTTGGTCAAAAAATATTAGTCCCCAGGCCATTAATGGCACATTTCCACTGCAACGGGGTAGCCCCGTTTAAGCGTCCCTAAGCGTCCTCGCTCAGTCCTCTGGCTGCCTCGCTGGCCGTCCGAGGCCGTGGCGCATTTCCATTACAGTTTAGGACCTGGGGTAGCAACGCAGTGTAGGCGGGGTGATCGGCTTCACATTTCGAGTTGTTCCGTCGAGTTCCCGCTGGATTTTATCATCCCCAATGAGATGTAGGAACGTCGTCACCTCCTCGGTCGACCACGGTGTGCTTTTCTTCGACGTTGCCATTTTTGTAGCTCCTCCGTTTACAAAAATGCTGTGTATAAAAATGCTGCAAGCTTGCTTCTAAATATATGCGCCGCTAGGGATGATCTCGCGCGCGATCTTGTGACGATTCTCTCTCTGACCAATCAGCAGTCGAGAGTGTTGACGTCACTAGTTCAGCCCTGGCCCTGGCCTGATAGAACCACGATTTTATGGGGCCGGAAAAAGAGGGAAAAAGTACCCGCTAGCCGGTGCTACGCTATATGGAAAGGCCACCAAAAACTGGCCTGGCCGCTTGAGGACGATTAAGGACGCTTAAACGGGGCTACCCGCTGCAGTGGAAATGCGCCATAATAGTCAATAGTGTACCCTTTCTGAGCCACAACTGACAACAACCTATTAGAGTAGTTCTTTACTAGGTTGGCACAGGTCTCTTGAGGGATTTTGGCCCATTCTTCCATTGCAAATTGTTCCAGCTGGTCCAAATTGCATGGTTTCCAAGCATGGACATTCACTTTGAGCACCCGCAAGATTCTCAATAGGATTCAGATCTGGGCGGTCCACTCCAGCACCTTGGTTTTGGTGTCCTTTAGGAACTGTTGGACCAATTTTGATGTGTGCTTTGGGTCATTGACTTGTTGGAAGACCTAAGCGAAGACTAAGAGCAGATTTTTTCATATTATCCCTCAAAATGTCAACATAAATTTAATTGTTCATGATGCCTTGCACCCGAACAAGGCACCCTGTGCCTGAGGCTGCAAAACAGCCCCACGGCATGATGTGTTCTTAGGGTTGAAGGCCTCTCCCTTTCTTCGCCAAACATGAGCAACATCCATGTGCCCAAACAGTTCCAGTTTAGTTTCATCAGATTAAAGCACAGACTTACAAAACTCATCTTTACCTTTCAAATGTTCACGGGCAAACCTCAGTCTGGCTCTGATGTGCCACTCTTTGAGTAAAGGGGTTCTTCTGGGACGATGGTCCTGAAGCCCACCACGATGAAGAGCCCTCACAACTGTGTTCCTTGAAACATCAACTCCAGAAGAGGCCAGGTCAGCAACAATCATCTTGGCAGATGTCCGGGGATTCTTGCTCACATCTCTGACTATTTTCCTCTCCAGAGTCCTTGAAATCTTGCGCTTTCGACCACGCCTAGGTTTGTTTCTTACAGAATGTGTCTCCTTGTACTTCGCAATGATGCAACGCACAGCAGTTCTAGACACTGTGAAGAGCTTGGAAATAGCAGTATAGCCTTCCCCCTTATCATGAGCCTCCACTATCTTCTTTCTGAGCTCAAGACTGATTTCCTTTGTCTTTGGCATGGTGAGTAGGAGTAGTAGTATAGTCTCCCTCAATAAGGTATTCAAGTGCCTGTTTCTTGGAGTCCTTTTATGCTGATTGAATGCTCAGGTTTGGCTTGAAAGCTGATTGATTGATTAGGTGTGTTTTGAAAGCAAAAATTCACATGGGAGCTAATATTTTTGACCAACCCATTTTGCACTATATTTGATATAAAGCAAGCCTAAAAACTTATTTTATTTTCCAAAATGTACCAAAAGCTACTAAATAGCACTGGTGAATGTTTGATTATATCAAGTTGTATCAATGCTGGAAACTGTATTTATTTATTGTTCTTCCCTTAAGTTTCCCCGTGCTTTTACCGCTGCTCTGGCTGCTGTGCCTCCTTTTCGTTGATGCTCTTCCTGAAGGTCTCACTCTCATCCTCTTCTTCACGCTCTGCCAAGTCAAAGGATAAGTCACTGTCTGATTGCTTGTCTTCACTTTTCTCATCGCTGGAACCTGTTTTCCTAGAAGTTACAGTCTTAGAGTTTCAACGTTTGCCTGCAGAATTTCTCTCAGACCTTCCTTTAGGTCTTCCTGTATTTCTCCTTCTTTTTTGCACAGTCTTCATTTATCTTCTTCTGTATCTTCTTCTCTTTCCACATGTCAAACCTAGAGTCGTGCCTCTCTCATTTCTACTGTCGTCAGCATCACCAGTGGCGCTGACTGTTTTTTTTAACTTACAATTCTTCCGCCCAGGCCAGAGCTTGACTAGTGGTAACTCTGCAAATGACTCTTCAAGCTCACGTTGTGATTGAAGCTTTTGTCACATTGCAGACACTTAAAAGGCCTCTCTCCTGTGTGCAGACGCATGTGGGACTTCAGGTGTCCCGCCTGGTTGAAGCTGCGTTCGCACTCTGAACATTTATGCGGTTTCAATCCTGTGTGCACAATAGAGTGTCTCCGAAGATGACGTGCACTCCTAAATTCATTCCCACAAATTTCACATTTGGGCTTCTTTAATGTTCTGTGTTTTGCCAAGTGGTACAAGCGTCTTTTATAGGTGGAAAATGTCTCTGGACAGTGAGGACATTTATAGGGATCTGTGCTATCTTCATGGGTCTGCTGATGTTTTAGTTTGTCCAGCTTTGTTTTGAAGGCAACGTGGCAGTATTTACACAGATGGTCATACGTTTCATCGTGGATTCTGCTGTGAGATTTCAGAGACAGCTCATTAACACATCTTTTGCCACATATATTGCAGGAATAGGGCTTTATTTTGTGCTCACATGTGTGAGACTTCAGAAAAAAACGTCCACACTCTGTGCAGAGCCCTTTGTTATACAAATCTTGTTCCTCTCCGCTTTCTCTTTCCTCTTCAGACTCCTTTGTGAGCTTTTCAGTGAAATCGTCAGTTGGTTCCCATTCGAAATCTGAACTCACCCCACCTTCATCCCCTTGCTCTCCTTCATCCGACGGATCACTTTCTTCATCACTGAACGTAACAATCTCAGAGCGAACTGTGCTGCTGGGGTTGCCATCAGTAGACATTTTCTGTGAACAATACAACGACAAGAATGACAACCTGGAATAGGAAAAGTGTCACAGTCTATACAGCCCAGGATATTATAGACAAATGACCAAGAAGGCGGCAGTCACCTTAATGATTTAGTATTCAAATACAGTATATATATGAGTCAGCCCATGTGCAAACAGTTCAGGCCGTAATAGACTGCCAGTTTAGGAAAACGCTCTGCAGATACTACAGATAAGAGGGATGATGTGACACTATATATTATGCATTTATTTCTTATCACTCCTTTCATAATGAGCCCTGACAGTAGACAGCCACTGTGAGCACAGCTGTTCTGTTCGGCTATGAATATGCTTAGTGCTCAGATTTGTAGTTGTATCCATGATGCTATAGGTAAGGCTACGGTAGAAGGATTATACTACTCTTAACTGCTATTTACATTAGCCAATAAACATTATTCAGGCATTTTGATTTGACCCTTCAGAGCTTCTACTAGATGCAACAGATCTATTAATACACCACAGAACTTCAGGAAAGCAGTAACTTCAGCAAGAATAAGCCCTGCATTTACTTAGTGTTACACAAGTAATACTGTAAACTAGTTATTAGCATAACAACCAGAGCATAGTGGCAGTCTACTAAATAATACATCATTATTTTAATCAGTCTTTCTCTCAAGATCACAAAGAATGCAAAGCAAAAACGCAAAAACATATTCTTGTCCTTCTAGGGCTTTAGGATGGAGTAGGTTAGGAGGTCATTATTTACAGTCAGTGTGGATATGTTGTGTGATTATAATCCTACCTGATGGGTCTCTGGCGTTACGTCTATATCTTCTGTTAGGGGTTGATCTTCAGCTGTGGGCACGCTGGCATTGACTTGGCTTTTCCACTGGTGTCTGTAGTCACACTGAACACACTGTTGGTTCAAGATGATGAGCTCGCCATAGGTGACCTTCTCCATCTGAAGTTTGCATCCACATGACGGGCACTTACGGCGGAACAACTGGAAGAGGCAGCGTTCATTCACAACATGCTTTGCTTTTATCTGCAGAGGAGCAGCTCTGAAAGGAAAAGAAAACAATTGTTAAATGTAATGCAAACTGAAAAAAAATCCACAAACCGTTGAGAACGTTTAACTCACTCCTGATTGTTCAGATCCACATTCTTAACTTTGAGTTGTATCTGGGGGTATCCAGAAGAGACAGCATTCAAAGCAGCAGGTGGATTTAAAGTTGAATCATTAAGGTCACCACACTGAGGAGCAGCACCTTGGTTATCCACAGGCTTCTACACAAATGACAAAAGTAAAGGATTGTAGTTGAACAAATATTTGTACAATAAAGGCAGGTCCCTACCTTGCTTAATGGTAAAGTTTGCCCCTGGTGTTCTCAGCAAAATCACAGGCCAAGCATTCATTCCATTCCTAACAAGCAGCACACTAGGACTTTAAACATTTGTTTCAGAACACCTGAGAGCACCATGAATATGTGTGTACTAACTGGACAAAATGTATACTAAACAACATCATGGTTAATGGCTACATTAGCCTGTAGATGTGGGCAGTGGGATGACAGAATTGCACAGACTGGGCAGCAGTAACACAGTAAGTGCTCATTACACTGTGTGTAACCTCAACAGCACTGTGGGGATGAGGCAATGTGCCATTAAGCACCTGTCAGAGTACAAGCAGCCTTTAAACCGGGCTGTGCCCCACGTTAAGTGAATTAGCACACTCATTTAAGAATGTTAAACAATGTGGACGTGATTTACTTGACAGTGGACAGCAAATCTGTTTTAAATGAAAGATGTTGATTGGCACATTTCACTGTGGGCGTCATGAAGCATGTTGAGTGTTTATGACGTGAATGCAAAAAGGACTTAGTTACATTAGTTATTCAATTTAATAGGTCTCAGATATTAATTCTTAACTGATTTTATCGGGAAAAGATGTATGGATTTACTCAGTTTAAACGGCATACACACAATTAATTGAACAATTGATCTAGCATATTATACTAAAGGAAAACATGCAAAACTCCCAAAGGTATGTATATGATTATTAGATTAACATTCCGCATATATCCAGCTTTATTAGAATGTCGTGACTTTATTAGACACTCTAAAAAAAAGATGTTCCACTTGTCAAACTAGACTCACCACCACATAGTGTGGGCTCTCCAGCAGCTCTTCTGGCTCTGCCTTGACCCTCACTGAGGGGACAGCACTGGGCTTCAGCTGGACCGTGTCTGCCGCCGTACTCAGGTGCTCAAACCAGTCATCAGTAAAGTGTTCTTTACATATGGTGATGTCAGTCCAGCACGATTCTTTAAGTTGTTGCTTGTTTGCTTCAAAAATAAACTGAACCCACTCCAGCCTCCTGTCCGGATCCTCGGGTAACTTGAAGCGTTGCGCATGGCGACTCAAAGAACAACATCCGAGGACGGAGCACATGCTGGGGTTAGACCTTTAAATATACAGTCTATGGGTTAGATCTGCCCTCCGGATTTAAAAGTGCCGGACAGTTTAATGTTTACAATTTACGAGGACTTTACTGACTTCCACTGCTTACAGTTAGTTGCAAGCTAGCAGTTGGACATTTAGCTAGTGGCTGTGGTAACGGAAGGGGCGGGGTTGTATGGCTGGGGCAGCTTGGTTTGCTATAAGGCGTATCCCGGCTGCGTCTATCGTTTTTCCAACCCAGTTTAGATTTAACCCAACCACGGCCACTTCCGCATTACGCAGGGATCGACGTAGCTCTACGCGATTGCGTCATAGACTTCATCTTCGGCAATTATAGCGGTCGCGGTAAAGCAGGATATTGAATAGTTGTTTTTTGTCTTTCCAAAGGATTTGTTGACTGAAAGTAAACGATCCTGTAATCAAAGCCATATCGAAGAGTCCTGAGATTGTATTACTGGTGTTTTATCATCTATAAATAGCCTGTGTGTATTCTCAAATGTCGTTTTCAGGACAAACAAAAGACGTTTTAAATATCTTATCAGAATAGCCTGTGTAGGCTTTATGTTCGATCATATCAACCTGTAGTATTTGTCCAGTATTGTAGGCCTACTATAATGCTGCATTTATTTCGAGTCATTGGGTAACATGATATTTCAATTAATAATTTTAATTTTTTTTAAAAACAGCAGAATGTTCATGAAAATATTCATTTAAATTAGGAAAACCACTAAAATCTTATGAAGATAGGTGTTTCTACCCTACTTGTCTCGTGTAGTTCGTAAAGCAGTATTAATTTGGAGTCAGTGGATCACTTATCATGGAATCTGTTATATATACATAAATTAGATGTTTTAATGTGTAAACATTGATATTCTCATAACAATATTCATTAAAATATAGAATTAACTAGTGAGTTTGTCCTATTTGTCCAGTTTAGTGTCATAATGCTGCATTGATTTGGTAGATATTGAAACAAATTCAAGAACAAATTACACCAAACCAATGCAGAATTATAAAGCATTTCCAATAAAAATATGAGATTAACTTTAAATAACAACATTGTGAAATATTTCACATTTAGAACCAAAAAGAAAACCAACAAGCACTGTGCATAAGCAGTTTAATTTGTACTCAGTCTCTATACACAACAGTGAACAGGATTCATGTATGTGTGTTGCATTAAAGTCATTGAGTCTTAACATTTAAAAACAATGAAGTTTGAAAAGAGAAATTGTGCTCAAGATTGGTTCAAATATACAACATTAAACAGCACACTTTTGTATGGCACCCTAAACAGATTTTGCCATAAGGAATACTCAACTCAATAACCTTTTTTTGTAATGTTAGGTTTCTTCACTTCAATCATTTCCTGGTCTCCCCTTTGCTTCACTAATATGTTATTGTTCTGGCTGCTGTGCCATTTTTTTCAAAATCAGAGTCAATGTTTGGACTCAACAATCAGTCTTTGTTGAGTCAAAGGACGTGTTGCTTTCTGTTGGCTCATCTTCACTTTCTTTTTCACTGCAGCGCCTTCTCTTCGCTGGCCTTGCATTAGTCCCTGCTTCATTTCTCTTTGGCCTTCCTACGGGTCTACCTGTGCTCTTCTTTTTACGTTTTGGCTTAACTGTTCTCCTCTTCTGCACCTCCTCTTCTTCATCATCATGTTCTTCCATATTGTTGTCTAACCCAGAGACGGTGTCTCTCTTGTTTCCATACTTCTGACCATCACCAGGGTTGCTTACAGTTTTTATTCTTTTACCCTTCTTCGGTTTAGGTCCTGAGCTGGATGAGTGGTAACGCTGGACATGACTCTTCAGGCTCACATTGTGATTAAAACTTTGCTCACAATGCTGGCATTTAAAAGGCCTCTCCCCTGTGTGAAGACGCATATGGGATTGCAGGTGGCTTGCCTGGCTGAAGTCACGTTGGCACACTGAACACTTATAGCGCTTCACTCCTGTGTGCACAGCTAAGTGCCTCTGAAGAGCATTGGACTCGGCAAAGTCAAGATTGCAGATGTGACATTTTAAAACGCGGTGAACTCTCAGGTGGGATCTGCGTGCGTTATTTGTGGTAAATGTCTCTGAACAGTCAGGACATTTGTAGGGTTTTCGTTCAGTTATGTGGATCTGCTCGTGAGTGATTTTGTCCACTTTTGTTTTGAATGTAACATTGCAGTATTTGCATGGATGTTCATAGTTTTCATCGTGGATTCGGTTGTGAGCGTTTAGTGCGACCTCACTAACACATCTCCTGCCACAAGTATTGCAAGCATAGGGTCTTGTTTTGTGTTTACATGTGTGAGACTTCTGTTTATTAAAAAACGTGCCACACTCGGTGCAGAGCTGACTGTGTTTGAGGGCAAGTGGAGGACAAACCCCGTCCATTTCCTCTTCAGATTCGGTTTCCCCTTCAGATTCTCCATGAAGCTCGTTCAGCAGTAAAAGTTCCTCCTCTGGAACCCAATCCTGGTCTGAGTCACTTTCATCATCTGACTCCTCTGATTCCTCCATGGGATCACTCTCCTCAGTGCTCTTAAAAGTTTTAAGGACAAGAATGAGTATGAGTAAAAGTGAACATGTTCAGTACAGGATTAATATTACAGCCAGACAAAAAAAGAGTTGGTTCATTCATTTATCATTCAGTCTTTGAGATATCAAATAATAGTACAAAACTAGTTCTACTCACAACTGTTCAAAGCAACCGAAGGTCCAAAACCCAAGGATATTCAGTTTACAGTTTTATATGACAGGTAGAATCATCAAAACCTCCCATTGAGAAGTTCAAGCATCTTTTCACTGCTTGATCAATTACTCGGATTTACAATATGGTCCTAAAATCCACACTGACTGTTGTATAAATGTATGTCAATTGACCGATTGTTTAAGCTCTACCTATTTAGGCTACAATAGTCAACACAAAAATCCACTGCGTAAAATTCCAATAATAAAAAACATAATTGTGAAAGTATTGGAGTGTATCTTGCATATTCATTTAATTTAAAAAAAGTTGGAATGCACAAATCTATTAAAAAAGGAGACTTAACTCTTAGCAGAGTGTTTGGATATGTTTTAGTTTGTCTGACAATTGAAGTCCTACCTGTTGGGTCTCTGAAGTTGCATCTACTTCAGCTGTGGGGACACTGGCATTGACTTGGCTTTTCCACTGGTTCCTGTACTCACACTGAAGGCACTCTTGGTTCACAACGATGAGCACCCCATAGATGACCTTCTCTGTCTTTACTTTAGAGCCACATGACGGGCACTTGTGGCTGAACAACTGGAGGAGACATTTTTCATTCACAACGTACCTCCCTTTCATCTGCAGAAGTGCAGCTCTGAGGAATCAGTGAATCAAAAATATGAGATACAACATTAGAAAGTCTCATCTAGTTTTATCAAAGTAAACTGTAAAGAAGGATTCACTTACTTTTTCCTAATCATATCAATGTTCACAATGTTGTGTAGCATTTGCCCATAATCAGATATCTCTGAAGCATAACTTGGTGCTGGGTTTTCTTGGTCATCTGCAGATTAAATGTAACCTTCACCATTATAAACATGACAAAAATACATTTGAATTAATACCAATTGTATTGTTAAACCTTACCCCTTGAAGTTAGTTCTGATTCTTCAGGATAGTAAGATGGACGATCACATGTTCTTAGTTCTTCAGGCTTCTACACAAAGTAACACACAGGGTTACACACAGGTAATACATGTGTCATCACATGGCAGTATGGCAGGTCACTGAACATTTCTGCCGTCCCCTAACAAAATTTGGCAAGTGGTAGTTGCTAATGTAATTCACTGTCTCCAACAAAGACATGACAAATGCTCAATATACAACATCAACAGTCATAGGGGTTATTACAATGATTTGAGACATGTCAATACAAACATTTAACAATGAAAAGTGAGTGAATCATTTGGATACAATGTACTCTACATGTTGCATTTAGCCCACACACATTAATATAACCCTGGTTGGTGGTTAGTGTGTCATCACTTTAATCGATAAAATAATGAACAAACCAAATTGCTCTTCTTGACAATTATATGTGCACACTGTGGTTCTGGCCACATGATAGATATACATGATTTATGTATTAATTGAGAAATGAATGACAATGTAAAAACCTTTTAAAAAACCTGTGTAATGATCAACTCTGTGCTCACTAGTGAGGATATCCCAATCTACCCAGCCAGATGTGGTATTAAAACAAACACACCAAAAACGAAATGCAGTGTCAATAGCTATGGTAAAAAGTAATATGGCATTTCGTTGATGTGCTGTTAAATAGGAATGAGTAACTTGTGTATCTATTATAAATACAGACTCACCACATATTGTGGGCTCCCCAGAAGTACCTCTGGTTCTGACTTGACACCATGCTTGGCACACACTGATGGGACGGCACTGGACCTGAGCTGGGCCGTGCCAGGCAGGGGTTCAAAACAGTCTCCATTAAAGTGTTCATTGCAAATGGTGATTTTAGTCCAGCACGATTCCTTAAGTCGCTGTTCATTGGCTTCCAGGATGAACTGAACCCACTGCAGCCTCCTCTCCGGATCCTCCGGTATCTTAAACCGTCTGGCACCACGACGCCATGAATCACATCCGAGGACGGAGCACATCCTGGAGGTAAAGGATCTCTTCCAGTTTGAATGTGGCGGGTTAATGTAATGTGTACAGGGAGTGCAAGACTCGCAAGGTCCCAAACAGTAAAAAGCTAAGGGCTAGCTGGTGGTTTCGCGGTTTATGGCTAGAAAGGATCCGCCTTGTGTAAAGATCTCGCGAGAGTTTGCAAGTCACGTGGCTGAATGTTTACGTTTGGCAGGCAGCCTTTCAGTTATGATCGTTAACATCAGTGGGCCACAGCAAATTATGGTGAGAAGCTAAACTATCTATTAATTATGTCAATTACAGGGAGTGTGATTGTTGAAATAGGGTGTTAGCGGTCTTGCTGTTCAAAGAAGAATGACAGATTCCTATACCGGATCTCCTCTCTGGTAAACAAAAACACCCTGAAAACTCTGGCAGGAGCACTCATTCAAGGGTACTATGACTATGCTTGCACGTCATGGTACCATAGCACCTCCAAGGCGCTAAAAATAAAACTTCAAACATCACAAAATAAACTGGTCAGACTACTGCTTGACCTTTCATCTAGAACCCACCTCACCTCTGCCCACTTTGACAACCTAGGATGGCTTAGAGTAGACGACAGAGTACAGCTACTTGCAATGGGCCTGGTCTACAAGATCCACTACACCTCTATGGTACCCATGTACATGTCAAAATTCTTCCCAAAGGTCAAGGAATACCATGATCATAACACCAGAGGGAGCTCCACAAATCATGTGAAACCCAGATTTGGCACAAAAAAGGGGGAATACACGTTTCGCAATTATGCCACATCAAGGTGGAACGCTCTTCCCACAACTGTAAAGGAAAGTAAAACTATACTTACCTTCAAAACCTCTCTTAAAGAGCACCTTCGGGGGAGAGCATTGCAAAACTGGCCCCGGTAATGGTACAAATCTCAACCTGTCGTTCAATGGACAGCTTCCCCCCCCCCCCATCATCTATGTATATACTCGCATTTTAAACTCTGTTACTAATTGTATATCTGTAGACTTGGTATGTCTTAAATGTCCGGTTAGGATGTATTAGAACGAAATCTAAAATGAAAATTGTAAATAAGCAATCTGTAGGCCTATGTAAAAAACCACCTGTATGTAAATTGTAAATAAGCCATCTGTATGCCATCTGTATGTCAAATATGTCTTATATGTCTTAAATAATATGATGAATTGGAAATGGGGGACCCTGATGTAAACTAGACGAAAGTCTTTCTCTGGTCTGCATCCCCTTAACAATTGTATGTTTTGAGCTGTACTGTACTGTACCCAATATACAAGCTGTTAATAAACTTTTCAATCAATCAATCAATCAATCAATCACAACACTGTAGATCACCAACACTATGGTTTATTTTTTATTCACAGGCAAGTCAACGTTGTCGCAGTAAAAGTCCCAAGATAGCTCCTGGTGCAATAAAATGTTCCCTTTCAGTGTTTCTGATGTTTATCTATTAATATTGCTGCTGCATTAATGTGTATGTTGCATGTTACTGCTGTAGATGTGTTTCCGAGCCGCTCCGATTACAACGAGAGTTACAACGAGAACGTGACGTCATATTTACACAAGACGGATCCTTTCCGGCTGGGTTGGCTCTTATCCATGGGTGGGCCGGGTTGAATAGCGGGGGTTGGCTTGGTTTGGGTCAAGGCGTATCCCGGCTTGTTGGAATCATGGTTGGAATCCCATGTTGGAATCAAGGGAATTACCATACACATCCTTGGCCCACTGTGTGTGTGTGTGTGTGTGTGTGTGTGTGTGTGTGTGTGTGTGTGTGTGTGTGTGTGTGTGTGTGTGTGTGTGTGTGTGTGTGTGTGTGTGTGTGTGTGTGTGTGTGTGTGTGGTGGTGTGTGTGTGTGTGTGTGTGTGCCTACTAAGAATACGTGTGTGTGGTTAAAAAAAATGACTAGGGAACTCAGGGGGTGTAGGTCTATCTGGATAGCACCGTAGGCCTACTAGAAGTTTCGGTTTCCACACAGACTAATGGACAACATACAGGTCTGTCAAGTTTCCAGCAGGTGGCGCTGATTAAAAGGTTTTGTATCAATACGTTAATTGTTGCCAGTCAGCAGTTACTATGGTACTATGGTGATACTGCATTGGCTTTTTAAAGTCACCTGGATTTCAAATAACTACATACGCAGTTTTAACTCACAATGTCCTACTCTGTTTAAATACACCCCCTGAGTTCCCTAGTCATACATTCCAAAAAGGTGACCTAGCTCTGTACTGTAAAGCAGTTAACAGATTCAATCCCCCCAAGTCAAGAAACATATGTTTTCCATGAGGTGGAGCATACTGTATGCCTGCATGCCTCATGTTTTGTGTCTCAGAGGAACTGTAAATATTAATAATCCTCAAGAGTCATGTTTTGCTGAAGGTTAAAGATGGGGTAGGTAATTTTGGAGAAACCAGCTCGAGTGAGCTAGAATTTGAAAATACACAGCCGGAGAAAATCTGCCACTTCCTTACAGAGCCCCTCCTCCAACACACACATGGCCAGTGAGGGCACGAGATAAGTTTGTGCACAGATGGAAGGCTGACAGGCAGGTAGGCCATCCAGTTATTTTAGCCGGGCCGGCTAAAATGATTGGTCGTGCTTTTTACGGCTTTTTACAGTACTACGGCTTCCACAGATGACATTTTTTGTATGGATCTTCATTGCTATCGGGATGTTAAGAGCATTCCATGTAATATAACAAAAAGTGTATCTCGAGCCTGTTTCTCAAACTTATTTACCCCACCTTTAATTTCAACATATACAAATGTGTTTAGAATCCTAAAATGTATAGGCCTACATAGGAGTGTGAAGAGCCCCATTTTTAAACTCCACTGAAATTATTTTTAACTTTTAAAAAGCATGTTTTTGTTGAGCGGCTGTAACCTTAATTAAGCACTCCTGCTTACTTTTCAATCAGTATATATCTTGGCCTGATGTTACATCTTATTATATTGACTTTTCACTGACGTGTGGTTAAAATATGTACTCAGAGTCAGGTTTCTGGGTTACAACCATAGACCGTATATATTGGACCCAGGCAACTACCGCCCTGTTTCTATACTTACCTCCATCTCGAAAGTCATGGAAAAAATAGTATATGAACAGGTCGAAAAGTACCTCGCGGAAAATAAACTAATCTATGAATTTCAATCTGGTTTTAGAACATCCCACTCCACTGACACATGCCTTCTTTATTTGAGCGACCACATCAAACAAGAGGTGGACGAGGGCAAATGCTGCGGCATGGTGATGCTGGACCTACAAAAGGCTTTCGACACTGTCAATCACCCCATTCTGATTGACAAGCTAAAAGCAATTGGTTTTGATAAACTATCGGTGAGCTGGATGCAATCCTACCTGGAGGGGAGAGAACAGATGGTGGAGGTAAACGGTACTCTGTCCCCCCCCCCTCCCAGTGAGCTGTGGTGTTCCACAAGGAAGCATATTAGGTCCGTTACTGTTCCTAATTTATGTAAATGACATGTCATCAGCATGTGACTGCAACTTGTTCCTGTTCGCGGACGACTCAGCCCTGCTGGTCTCTGACAGGAACAGATTGCAGGTTGAAAAAACCCTCAGCTCCGAGCTCGGCAGAATCTGCACCTGGTTCGCCGATAATAAATGATCATTACACCTGGGTAAAACAGAGTCCATTCTCTTCGGTTCGAAACATAATCTCAGCAAATCCGACGACTTCTCAGTTGCAGTGGGTGACATTATTGTCACAAGTAAGAAGGAAATTACATACCTAGGATCTATTCTTGAGGCAAACCTCTCCTGTGACAAAATGGCATCCAATGTAATAAAAAAAAAGTCAATCAAAGAACTAGATTCCTATACCGGATCTCCTCTCTGGTAAACAAAAACACCCTGAAAACTCTGGCAGGAGCACTCATTCAAGGGTACTATGACTATGCTTGCACGTCATGGTACCATAGCACCTCCAAGGCGCTAAAAATAAAACTTCAAATATCGCAAAATAAACTGGTCAGACTACTGCTTGACCTTTCATCTAGAACCCACCTCACCTCTGCCCACTTTGACAACCTAGGATGGCTTAGAGTAGACGACAGAGTACTACTTGCAATGGGCCTGGTCTACAAGATCCACTACACCTCTATGGTACCCATGTACATGTCAAAATTCTTCCCAAAGGTCAAGGAATACCATGATCATAACACCAGAGGGAGCTCCACAAATCATGTGAAACCCAGATTTGGCACAAAAAAGGGGGAATACACGTTTCGCAATTATGCCACATCAAGGTGGAACGCTCTTCCCACAACTGTAAAGGAAGTAAAACTATACTTACCTTCAAAACCTCTCTTAAAGAGCACCTTCGGGGGAGAGCATTGCAAAACTGGCCCCGGTAATGGTACAAATCTCAACCTGTCGTTCAATGGACAGCTTCCCCCCCTCCATCTATGTATATACTCGCATTTTAGACTCTGTTACTAATTGTATATCTGTAGACTTGGTATGTCATAAATGTCCGGTTAGGATGTATTAGAACGAAATCTAAAATGAAAATTGTAAATAAGCAATCTGTATGTAAAAAACCACCTGTATGTAAATGGTAAATAAGCCATCTGTATGCCATCTGTATGTCAAATATGTCTTATATGTCTTAAATGATATGATGAATTGGAAATGGGGGACCCTGATGTAAACATTACATTACATTACATTACATTTAGCTGACGCTTTTGTCCAAAGCGACTTACAATAAGTACATTCGACCAGGAAGACACAACCTTAAACAAGACGAAAGTCTTTCTCTGGTCTGCATCCCCTTAACCATTGTATGTTTTGAGCTGTACTGTACTGTACCCAATATACAAGCTGTTAATAAATGTTTCAATCAATCAATCAATATAAATTGACGTAGGGTCCGTGACGTCACCCATAGGATTCTGCAGAGTTGCCGTGAAGCCCTTAGTAGGCGGAGTCGGCCACTAACGGCTCGACAGTGACGTCAGAGTTCAACTCCCGCCTGCTCCAAATAAGGGCAAAGAGGCGGAGCCGAGGCGGGACCTCCTGCCACCGAGCTGGAAGTTCCAGAGCTAGCTGAAGCTACCAAGCTAAGCTAACATGCTCCCCATCTGCACACTGCCGTGGCATTTTA